TCTCCAACAACAACAGGAGCTCTTCTCTCCAACAACAACAGGAGCTCTTCTCGATCAAAACACATTGACATTAAGTTCTTGGCTACGAAGGAGAGGGTACAGAGTGGACAGATATCCTTAGAGCATATTGGAACAAACTCTATGATTGCGGATCCGCTTACAAAGGCAGTGATACCGAAAGTTTTCGAAAGTTTTCCATGAGCACACCGCTCATATGGGTATCGTTTTGTTTGAGACTGTCTAGTTTTAGTGGGAGTCTGCTCTTTATGTATACATTATGGTTTTGAATGCTCTATTTTGTTTTGGATATGTTTTATCATGAAATTTTGTTGAGTACTCATTTTGGTTGATGGTTACACTCTGTATTATTATTATTGTTATGGTTAGCACTCTGTATTATTATTATTGTTTTTGCTTGAATCTCAACTTTTGTTGGTGACCAGATTGGAAACAAGACATGATGATCACATACATGTATGTTTTTCATGCTACACTTCTATATGAATCTATGGTCATTTAGGGGTATTGGTAATGTAGTTTGATGATGAACTTAGGTCATGAGATCTATGGCGAATGTTTCTTCAGTTCTTTATCAATATAATTAATGGACGAGATTGTTTTTGGATACCTTGTATGACTGCGTTTGTTGAGCTCATTTTGGTGTATGTATTTTATTTAACATAATGTCGCCCAAGTGGGAGATTGTTGGATTTAATTTTCTATTGTGGGCTTAATATGTAAAATTAAATATGTACAGCAGTCTAATTATAAAGTCAATTTTAAATGCGGTCTTGATTGTGAATAATTGACTATTGAGGTATCAACTAATTATAGATATTAAGTGTAGAGACCATTATATAATTCCTATTTCTTTAAAGGACCGAAATAGGAATTGTACTAACCGAAATAGGAATTGTACTACGCGCTTACAGGTATATAAAGGTCGTGGTCCCCAGAAGTTGAATAGCGATTCAGTTTTACGTTCCTTTCGTAACTGCTCCGCAAATCGGATTCTTCAATTCATCTGGAAGGCTGGGCATAACGCTAATTGCTAGCAAAGCATCAAGATCGAGCGAACAACGATGTCAGGTACGCAACAGGTACGCAACCTTTTCTTATTCAATCTATTTTGTTGAATCTAGTGATTTGCACGATCTAGGTTATTGTGGAATTATTTGAGATTAATTCTTACATAACATGCATATTTTCTTCCTATCTATAACTTCTTGCATCAATATCATCTCTTCCTAATCCAAGAGAGTATTCTTCAGTAGCAGTTCCATTTCCAACAGCAATTTTCAAATCCTCAAAGTCAGAAAAACTATCTAGGCGAAGGTACTTCTGGATGAGACTGACAAATATAAAAAATGTATAACATATTAATGATAAAAAGTATAAAATATTTAATAGAACTCTATTAAATTATATTTGAATTTATTATTGTATGTTAAATGAGCATTTAATTAATGTGTGTTTATAAAGTACTCATAATATTATTTACATTAATAAAAATTATAAAATAAATATGAGTTTTCATGCCTAATATGGACGTGATATGCATTATTAGAAAGTTTGATGAGATTTGCTAAACAATTATTAATCAATTAATTTTTAATCAAGTAAAAATTTTAAATGAACATGATACAAGATACAAAATTTTAAATGAACATGACATGAATTAATTAAGGAGAAAAATTGTCAGAGCTGAAATAAAAGAAAAAAAAAAAAAAAAAAAAAAAAAAGGAGTCACAAACCTGTACTTAAAAAATGCAAAGTGCAACGTTATCTAATAATGAACCTTTCACCGTTCACTTTCTTAGAAGTGTAATTAGAAAATAGAATGTTTTGACACTTGTGCTACATGCATGTCTCCTTATCTCATATTGCCATATGTAATCACTTACTCTTAGCTTTATAACTTGATATAAAACAGTTAATACTTATCTCTCCTTCGACTCTTCTATTCTATATTTTTCACCATCTTTATATGAACCTGCTTATGCAAAAAGAAAATTTCTACTCTGAAAGGAACAAAAGATTTAAATATGTTGTGTTTCTTAGCTTTGCCTTTGGAAAATTGAAGGAAAGTGTTTCTTCGAGCTTCTGCCCTTCTCGATAATTGTGAAGAGAGAAATTCTCTAAAGCCAAGACCTGGACAAAGTTGTTATCCGACAGAAATAACCAAGGAATGAGAGCGAAACTTATCTAATTCTCGTTATTAGCATTACGTCACACTTGTGCTACATGCATGTCTCCTTATCTCATATTGCCATATGTAATCACTTACTCTTAGCTTTATAACTTGATATAAAACAGTTAATACTTATCTCTCCTTCGACTCTTCTATTCTATATTTTTCACCATCTTTATATGAACCTGCTTATGCAAAAAGAAAATTTCTACTCTGAAAGGAACAAAAGATTTAAATATGTTGTGTTTCTTAGCTTTGCCTTTGGAAAATTGAAGGAAAATCTCTAAACCAAACTGACAAAGTTGTTATAGAGAAATCAACAAGGAATGAGAGGAAACTTATCTAATTTGTTTAGCAATTAGCTAAACAATTTTGGAGCATGTCCATTTACAGTAAAAGTTATTTTAATTTTATCTCATAATAATTTTATTATTGCATTGAAGTAGAGGATAGGAATCTGTAGCTTGTTGGATATGCATAAGTGATGAGAGATATTTTTATTAATATTTTTTTAATAATTTTTTAACGCAATTTTTTTTTTTGAAAAAAACATGTAGTTAGAGTGCAAGCAAACAAAGTTGTTGTTGTTGTTGTTGTTTGAGACATCTGAGGATGACATAACACCTAATATAATAAGCATTCATGGTTTAAATGGACATTGTCTCTTTATTCAATTTATCGTTGCATAACACCTCCTCTCTTTCAAGATTGGCAGTTTATCAACGATGGTATAAAGTATATTGAAGAGATCAATTAATTGGAATAGATTAAGCAGGGACCTTTTTTTGAACGTCCACTACTGAGAGATTTTCAGTATTGAGTACAGTTAGGTAAGAAAAATTCTTATTGCTTGACAATATTTAAATTATCCTAAACTAGAACAATTTCAACCATTCACATCAAGATCAAAATTACCTCACTCTCCCGATAAAAATAAAGAACATAATTACACAAACGAGATATATAAAGAAGAAAAGAATGTCAATTTACATACCAGTTCGCAGCTATGCAGCTTTGATTTTTTTTTTGTCAGCGATTTTTTTTTTTTGAAAGAGAGCGTTTGCAAAATAAAGAGTCCTTTATTTTTAAAATCTTTTAAAATCCAACATAATCTCAATCCAATACACCCTCCTATATAAGTATTCTTAATATTATTGTTAATGAATTATTTTTTTAAAAAAAAAAAAGCATTAAGATTTGAGTCTAATAAATTAAGAAATTAGAAAATAAAAAATTGATTGTTAGTGAATTGTCATTGAATTCGACAGCCCATCTACTGCCCAAACTCATCACTGCTTTTACTTTGTCTACCGACTTTCTATTGGATTTTGATTTTTCTGAATTAAAACAACAATGTAAATTTTTATTTGACGGAGATAAAAAACCCTCATTATAGGTGGAGGGTCATTTTGATCATAAAAAAATCTCTCTCATAGCTGATCACGCCTTTGTGCTTTGACTCACGATAAAAAATAGACGAAAGGACTAAGGGATTGGACGAGTACAAAACTTAAAAACTTAATTATGTATTTTATAAAAATCAAATCCTGACTAATGTATTTGATTAATATATAGAGATGTAATAGTAATTTTTTCAATATTATATTGTACTGAGTTCGTATATCATTAATTGGGAAAAACAAAATATTGAGTTTGGAAGTAAGTAAATGGGAAACAAAATAGATGCAATAAGTTATATTTCATTTCGATTTGGTCGAAATAGATCATATATTATGATGAATCTTTAAAAGTTAGAATAAAGTAGTTTATTTTAAAAGATTTGGATAATAACTATAATTTTGTTTTAAAAAATTTAGCTTTATTTTTCACAATTAAGGGTAAAAAATATAAATAGATGAAGGGATATGACATCTAACCCTTTAGTTTGTGTCTCTTAGGCATTACTGAAATGATATCGGGAATTACTTGCATTAGAAGACCATTTGCTGTTGGAAGACTATTTGTTATAATTGTGGTTTTTTATCTTAATTTGTCATAAACCTAATTAGGGATGTGGAATGATTTCTTGAAGTTGTCTAAGCCAAGCAACCATTTATGGTTTGGTTCTCTCCTTTCTTGAATCAAATGGATTTAGTTTGATTTGATTCAATTCTGGATACAGTTCAGTTTCTAGACAAAAAATATAATATAAATTTTTTATTTTACGGGTTCAGTTCGATTTGAAATCAAACTGATTAAATAAGTTTGTCGAGTGGGTTAATAATAGTTAATCATAACCATATGAATCAAAGTCATAAAGTAGAGCTTGATTTTTTTTTAAAAAAAAAACTATATTTATGTTTTCAATTAAAGATGGAATGATCCTTTAAATCCAAAATAACCCATAATATCAAAGTATATTAGTTGGAATGAGACTAACTAAAACCTTATCGGCCTTATAACATGTGTTTGGAATTCTGATGATATTCAGATGGTAAACTCCTAGTTCCGAACCGGTTTATAACCAGAAACAGTAAAGAATTCAAAAAATTATTGGGAAGACGTTGAAACCGATCAGTAATGGCTAGCCGTTGAACAATTGGAGAATTTGCCGAAAGCGAACCAAAAATGTAAAGGTTTTGGAACTGCTGATTCAATTCGGGTTCCAGAACCTTGGTCCGGCTCAACTTCAAAAATTAAGCACAAGTTCCGGGCCTAACTGACAAAATAATAACAACTGGTTGGCACTTGATCTATGCATCTACTAGTAGTTGAATTGGATGCATAAAGCAACTTTTTTTCTTCTTTCATGCTGTTTTCTTCCTTTTGAAGAAGGAATACTTTAATCAAGCCAGAACAAACATTGAAGTACAGAAAAACATCAAGAATTTAATTAACCTGAAGTGATGATTACAGAAGCAAAGCTCTCACACTAAAATAAAAAAAGAAAAACAAGGAAGAAGAAGACAATGTTGCTCTTTTTCCACGTTGTTTTGTTTAGTCCTTCTAGGATCATCTACCATACTTACTTTTCTTGTATATCAGGAAAAAGCTTATCTAGACAGCGTCCATGATCTCATCTATAGACTAAAATCTATGACCTTTCAAGTAAAATTGGCATGGGAATACAATCGTTGAACAAAAGTTTTTTTTTTCCCCTAGATCCCATTATCACCATCAAGCAAAATCAGAGTCTCAATGTAAGTATCCAAATAGAAGGAGTTCACAATGCCTTTGATCTCAAGATAACTAATTTTCTGATTTTGAATGTCATATGAACCCAATTCCCCATTGCTGCATGCAACTAATAGCATTTCAACATCATTCCCAATTAGGCCTAATGCCTTACCCACTCCTCCTTGCAAATCAATAGTAATTTGCTTAGTCCAAGACTCAACCTTCCCATACTCTTTCATAACCCAAATGGAGCAGCTTCCATATTGTATCCACTGGCTATGCCTGTGGCGATCGTATTGAACTAAAGAGAGCAACTCATTACTCGAAGCGAAAATCGACAAGTCAAGCACAGACAACCCAGATACACTATCTGGCAACTTCAATTCTTCAAACACTTCATTGCTCATATCAAACAAAACTATACTCAAATCGCGAAAATTGCTATCTGCTTCATTTGGATTATACCCAATCCAGTGAACAAAATCCTTCAAAAAAATCTGCAATGATAGTTCTGATATTACATATTTTGGAGCAGCTTTAACTCTAATGCTTCTCCAAGCAACCATGCCTAGTTCATACACTTCAACTTGAGGTGTAATATCAATTTTACTCCCGTTATCCTTTATATAATACACAATTCTTACAACTTTGTATTTATTTCTTTTTTCATCGAACCCAAATCCAAGAACAAACATATAAATCAGATCAAAAGATATACAAGGCAAGGGTAGGGTTATTGATTTTCCAATAGATGGATTCCATAAAATTATGGTGTGGGTATTGATACGGTAAGTATCAGAAAGGCAAATCAAGCCATTACAAGAGCCAATGATATCAAAATATTGAGAGTAACTTTTGAATGGGAAAACAAGTTGGTGACTGAACTGTTGATTACAAAACGAGCTGCTGCTATGTATTGTGTATATCTCTTTCTTTTCTGTCCAAGAATAGTGTCTAAGGAGCAGTTTAGAAGTTTTATTCTTTTTCTCAAGGGTGTATTTAGTGTGTGTAGAAATGAAAGTTGGACTGGAGATTAAAGAGTACCATGATTTGCATACACACCTGAGTTTCATTAGCAGGTTTGCAGGTAATCTTTTGAGGATTTCTGTCAAGACTTCTTCTTGATCAATATGGCTTGACATTATTGTGGCCTCTTTTTCCTGTTCTTGATTTCTTGTAAGGGTCTGCAACTTTGTTTCATATTAGAAAGTCTATGACTGGAGGAGTTTACCATGTTAATATGTTGAATCTTATAGTATATATTATTGCTTTTTCTTTTTATTTTCCGAGTTAATAATTTGGCTTGTAAATTCAAGCATTAATTCATTAATTTTTTTTTTCTTTGATTAAGCATTAGAAAATTAAAGAAATAGCTATTATCATGAATCAAGTTTAAAAAAAAAATTATATGGTCTTAAAATTTGAACTTTGATAAATAAGAGAAGAAGGAAACCTACTTAAAAAGTAAATTAATTAGTGAATGTAAAAGTGTGACTTAAAAAGTTCTAATGGATTTCCAAAAGAGTTTTTTATTAGAACATGTTTAGGTTGAAATTTGCAAAAACCTTCAGCCTTTAAATTTCCCAAAAATTTAACCTTTTCACCATAATTTTCATTTATATTTATAAAAAATATATATTTATCTTCGAAAAATATTTTTTTGTTTTTGACCTTCAATATTTTTAGTCTAATTCCATTTTTGTTTATATCATAAGAGTTATTTCTGCAAATTAGGTGTGGCCTGGTTGGTCATCCAATGTCTTATTGAGATGTAGGCAGTAAGACATCTTGAGTTTCGAGTTTGAGTTTTTTCCACTACAAAATTATTACTAATTTAGTGAAAATTATTCAAAAGGGAAATCTACCCCTTGCTGTAACATATTTTATAATTATTCCAATTTGATAGGATTGAAGTAAACGGTTTTTTTTTTTTTTAAGTAAATGGGTAAATTTATTATTTTACTGTTGATTTTATTTTTCCTAAGTTTGAAGCATATGAAATTATTATAATAAAATAGTAATATATTTTATGGCCCACAGTGAGCTGGCTTGTAGACATTAATACCAAAGTAATACAAAAGATGCAGATTAAATTATTTGGTTTTGACTAGATTATGATTTGACATCTTACATAGTTTATTCCGTACAGAATATTCCTTAAAAAGGTTCGGTATAAAACTGAAGTGGGTTTGCTTTTATAAATAAAGCCATATCATTAGATCATATAAGAAAAAAGTACATCCCGAATAAAAACAACATGAACGTGTTTTCATAAAATAATTTATAAAAAAATAATTTGCTGAAAAATATTTTCATGGAAAATATTATTTTTCATATAATTTATTTTTTGTTTGTTTGGTTGTAATATTGAAAATTAATTAAAAATATTAAATTCTTTATTTTATAAAAACATAAAAAATATTAATAAAAATAGAAAGAAAATTAATTAAAAATATTAAATTCTTTATTTTATAAAAACATAAAATATTATAAAAATAGAAATTTAAAAATTTTATTGTTAAATATGAAAGAATGCAAATATATATATATATATATATATATATATTTTATATATATATATATATATATATAAATATATATAAAATTTAAAGCTGCTGATGGCTGGTGGTAAGTGGTGACTGGTGGCAGTGACTATGATGATTAATAAATTAAAAAATATGGATTTATAAGATTTGCTAATATCCAGATAATGTTTTTCTCTCGAAAATGGGAAGTTGTTTTCCTTAAAAAATGACTTAATTTTTCTTTGACTAAAAAAATATTTTCTGTTGACTTATTTTCTGAGTACCCGAAATAACGAAAAATTGTGAAAAATATTTTCCTACAAGTTATTTTACGGAATCAAACGGATCCTTATAATCTAGACATGCAACCAACACTTGTAATCAGTAGATGAACAATATGCGTCTATATAGTTTAATTATTCATAGCAGTAGATGATAGCGGTAGGGGTGGCCATATTACGGTTCTAGGAACCGGAACCGGGGGTTCGAACCAATCCCGAACCGTAACCGGAACCGGTGAAAACCGGAACTGAATATTTTCGGTTCGGTTCCAGTTCCAGTTTTATTAGAACCGCAAACCGGCGGTTCCACAAACCGGTCGGAACCGGATGGAACCGCCGATTCTCTGGCCGGTTCGAGCCAGCGGTTCTAGCCGTTAGAAACTGTCAGTTTTTTTTTTTTTTAAATTTTTTTTTTTTAAAAATTTTGGTTGTGAAATCTCTAATTTACCCTCCCAACAACCATAACGGCTACAGTAACGGTAGTTTCAGGTATTTTTTTGGAAAAATAATTTTTGGATTTTTACTATAAATACCTCATTTAAATTATTGTCCAAAATATTGAAAAATAATTTCTTCAAAGTCCAATCTCCAATTATTTGTCCAAATTATTGTGAATTAATTTCTTCAAATTCCAATCGCTAATTATTCTCTCTAATTTTTTATTCAATTTTTCAAGTTACATATTATTTTCCAATAATTGCAAGTAAAGGAAACTCGAGTTCTGCTAAGGGCAAGGGAAAGATCGGAGAAACACAATATTCATCTTTCCCTACAAACGACATCTTCGATTTCACTTTCGACCAATATAATCTTGAGGGATATCCAAATAAAAATTTGGAAATTCCAACTCAAGAATCTAAATTTAACGATGAGAATTTACAATAAAAGGAAGAGTAAGGTACACAAATTATTCAAAAAGTAAGACAAAGTTCCGACATATTCGCCATTCATTTCACGAAGAAATTTAAAGGCGACGAAATGTTCGATGTAATTTGCAATTATTGTTGAACATCTTATAAATACAAATAAGCGGGTAGTTATGGATCATTTTAGAAGCATTTGGAGGCAACACATCTAACAAAAATGGGAGTTGATCGATCTCAAACACAAATTTCCGGGTACGCATCTTCTAACATTTTTTTATTTCAATATTCTGAAAAACTGCAAAAAGAAGAATTAGCTAAAATGATTTCTATGGAACATTTATCTTTTCGTTTTGGTGAAAAAGTAGGTTTTAATTAATATTGTCAAAAAGTTTTAAATTCTTCTGCTAAAAGAGTGCCAAGAAATACTGTAAAACGAATTATTATTTCTTTATATAAAAAAGGAAAAAAAAGAGTTAGAACTTTTATTTATTTCTTTATATAAAAAAGGAAAAAAAAAGAGTTAGAGCTTTTATTTTCTAAAATGAAAATTCGTGTTTCAATTTGTTGTGATATCTAGAGTGATCATTGGTAAATGCATTCTTATATAGGCATTACATGTCATTGGATTGATGATGATTGAAAAATTCAAAAAGAATTATTGCATTTCGTGCTTTTGATGATAAACATACTGCAAATAATATTTGTAGAATAATTGTTTCAATTTTAAATGAATATAAGTTGACAAAAAAAATTTTTTCAATTTCATTTGATAATGCTTCTGCTAACACTAAATCAATTATTATTAAAACTTAAAAATATTTGTGAACCAAATATTGTGGCAATTTTTTTCATATAAGATGTGCATGCCATGTTTATTTATGTGTACAAGATGGTTTAAAAATTCTTGAATATTTATTTTCTCCAATTAAAAAAAAGCTATTTTCATATTATGGGGACATCCCCAAGTGATGAAAAGTTGGGAATAAATTTTTTTAAGGAAATAATAAAAGACCAAAACGTTTCCCAAAAAGAGATGTCCAAACTCTTTAGAATTCCAACATATGAATTATTAAACGAGTCTTTTTCTTATAAAAAATTATTTAATGCTTTTTTGTTACTATTATTGAAAATTAATTTATATCTATCCACAAAATTGGGATATTTGTGCAAAAATTTTAGATATTTTAAAAATTTTTAATGATGCTACCTATAAATTTAGTGGGGTTTATTATCCTACATCTTAATTATTTTTGCCTATATGCATTAATATTACTAGTGCACTCCAATAATTTGAAAATGATTTATATTACAAAATTGTGTTTTATCAATGAAAAAAAATGGTTATCTTTTTTTAAAAATATACCACCCTTTATCTTGTTGCTTGTGTATTTGATCCTAGATGTAAAATTGAAGTTTTATCTGAATATTTGACTCTTTATTATGAATTATTAAATCTTAATACAGAAGATAGTGTTAATATAAATGTAGTATTGCATGAAGTTAGACAAAATATTATAAAATTATATAGTGAATTTGTTCAATTTTCTAGTTCATTTCTAGTTTATCTACATTCTAATTCTTCTCATCTAATATTCAACAAATTTCCAACACAAAGGGTAAGTGGTGTTAGTGTTGCTGAATAGGTTTTACTACAAAGACAAAAAAGACCAAGGGAATCCAGTTCTTTTTTTCTGAATTTAATAATTATTTAACCACTTCTTTTGAGTTTGGTGATGATTATGCAGATACTAATTTTCCAATTTTAGATTTGTGGAGTCGTCACGCCAATACTTTTTCAATGATATAATTATTTTTCTATATATTTTTTATCTTTAAAGTGAATATATTATTTTTCATTCTAATATATTATATAAATAAAATGACCATAAAAGATCTTTTTTAAAGAAATTTAGTATTAGCTATTTTCTTAAGATTAATGGAGTACAGATAAAATAATATTCAATAATTGTTTGAAATTTCTATCACTAATTATGAGTTGCTGATTAAAAATTTATCAACAACTTACAAGTTAATTGTTGCGCATAAATAAGCCGTCAGTTACATAAATTAGCTGAACAAAACATCCTCTAATTAATGATATCGTAACAAAAACAATAATTTGTAATCGAGTTACTTCACGGATTTCATTAAAATTTGTCCAGTTTCAATTTTTTTTATTGTCTTAGCACAATAATATAAGTATCTTTCAAAAAAAAAAAAAAAAAAAAAAAAAAAAGAAAGGAATACAAAGAAATTAAAAAAAAAAAAAAAAAAGGAATACAAAGAAATTAAGAGGAAAAATGGAATATTAACCTTTTATTCTAATAATTAATGAAATATTGTTGTTAGGTGTCTAAATTATATATTTTAGGTTTTTTTATAATTTATTTAGTTAAATTTATTGCATCTTTATTTTAACATTCTTAGTTTAATTTTTTATTGTTTCTTTAAAACTTTTCTTTGAAAATTTAGAAAATATGTTTTTAATTGAGGAAAATATAAAGTGAAAAATAACCAAAGAAATAAAATAGAATAATTTTCTCTTATTTTTATTCCTCCCTTATTTCCTTTCATCTCTTTTCCAAACGGAGCGTTTAAGTAATTTAGGCGGATGATAACTCGAAACGGGATATTGTAATTTTTAGAGTCTAACTGGGCCCGATTACTGGCCTTTTTAGTCACTTTCTTGTTTAGCTTCTATCTTCATCTTGGGCCAGAGGCTGTAGTGAACGGCGCTGCCCATGTCATGAACCTATAAAAGGTTCGATTTTGCCGCTTCATTTAAACCAACAAAGCAGAGACAATCTTCATTTCCTTCCTGGACACTCTATTGGCACTCTGCCTATCAAGAATGAGTCACGATTCTTCTCGTTCGGCTGATTCGAGCCGTAGATCAAAGCGAAGCTTCAACAATTCCAATTCTTCAAATTATAGCAAAACCAGTAGCAAGAATACCAAAAGCACCAAGCAAAAAACCCTAGGCGTGGCCTGGGGCGCCAATTCTCTTACCTCTTCTCGCTCCTCCTTCCGCAGTTCTCCTTTCTCCAATTTTGGCAGGTTCTCTCTCTCTCTCTCTGTTCAGTTGTTTTTGAATTTTAAAATTTTTTGATTTGTTTTTTCTTTATAATTGTGTGGAGCTTGATTTGTATATGTGTGGGGGTTTGTTTTAATTGGTATTTAGATGGTTTGAAAATTTGATTAGTTTTTGGTGATTTGAATATAGTTATATGGCAGAGAAGAATAGAAAACTTCAAAATCAGTTCAATGCAGAGGCTTCAAATTCTGCTCATAGTGATTCCATTTCGGGGAAGCTGATTTTTGATGGGGTTTCCATCTTTGTTGATGGTTTCACAATTCCTTCGAGCCAGGTTTGATTGTTTAATAAGTTCTGTTAAAGCTGTAAGTTTTTGGAAAAACTATAGTTGATGAATGCAAAAGGAAAAAGTTGAAGGTTTTTTTAATGGCACACCATATGAAGCTTGAGTATGATATTTAGATGTGTTAGGTTAATTCTTATTTCTTGTTAGAAATGGACGAGCTTTTTTGTATAAATGAATATCATAAAATTTTATATTTATTTGCAAATCCATGTTTGTAGAATTTCATATTTGGTAGTAAATGAAAATTCATTAGAATTCTGCATTTTTAATTTTTTAAATTGGTTATAATTGAATAGTCTAATAAAATTGATAGAATTTGCAAGTAAACTCTAAACTTAACAAAGGTACAGGCTACTAAAGCTAATGAACTCTAAGTACAAATTGGTACAGCTACATATTTAAAATGAATTATATAGTTAATCCAAACATGAAATTTCGTTTACAATTTTTTCAATGAATTCATCTGCATATAAAATGAATTCCATATGAATTTATTCTAAAAAACTATGATGGTACTGTTAAAGATGGTTTTTGAGATTTTAAGTCTGCTTAGGAACTGCGAGGCTACATGTTGAAATATGGTGGGCGGTTTGAGAACTACTTTTCAAGGCATCGTGTTACGCATATCATTTGCAGCAATCTTCCGGATAGCAAAATCAAGAACCTGAGGTTCATAACGGTGTATTAGTTTGTTCTTTGAAACAGGTAGATGTTGTATTATACCTTGATTTTTATTGTTGGTAATTCTTTTGCAGGTCTTTCAGTGGTGGGCTACCAGTAGTCAAACCTGCATGGATCTTGGATTCTGTTATTTCTAACAAGCTTCTGAGCTGTAAGTTCCTGCACTTTTTGATGTGAACTTCTACTGAGTAATGATATAGCTAGACAAAGAAATATTAAATGGATTTATAGAGTACATAGGGCAACATTAATGTTTGGAATTTTTAACTCATTCCTTGGAAATCAACACAAAATTATTTACTTTTTGGTTTGTTCGATTGTTTGTGCGTATGGCTGGGAGAGGGTAGATGTTTTTGGGGTTGAATGGAAGATGAATGATCATTTGCATATATATATAGACTTTTAGAAAGGGTGATCAAGTGCATGAAGCATCTACATTTGTGGGCTCTGGGGAAGGTTGTTATATGCAGCTTTTCCCTACTTCTGTAGAGAGGTTATTTCTGTGACTCAAACCTAGGACCTTCATGTCACAAGTGGAGTAATTTTATATTACGCCAAAGCCGCCCTCAATGTATAGACTATTGCTTAGCAGAAAAGAAAATTATCTTCTATTATTTGGTTGCTCTAAATAACATTTTAATAATGCATTGTCAGTATATATACTATGATTGGCACTTTTATAACTAATACAACATAGAATTTCAAAGATGCCGAAACTTTTGATTTTGCAAACAATTTAGAATATCTATTGGAGGCAAGGATATGAATGCAGACATATAAGTTACAATTGCAAAATATATAACCGATGTATTTTCAATCCTGGAAAACTGGGGGAGGTTGTTGATAGTCCTCCTGGCCCAAAATGAGTTTTGCTCTTCTTGTTTCTCTTTCTCTGATGTAGTGATGTTTAAGAGGATGGCTTCAACATTAATTTGTTCTATTTTGAGTGCTATGGATTTAATTTTTCTGTTTCTAGGGGTTCCCTACCAACTTGAGCAGCTTGCCAATAACCAACCGAAGTTGTCAGCCTTCTTTGCTGTGAAAAACAGATCAGTTGCTGAGGATGCCTTGAATGTTATGGCTTGTCAAGTAAATATGGAACCAAATCTGAAAGTTGGTACATCTCAGGACACAAACTTATTTGAAGAGCGTGATCCTGTGAAAGATGGAGAGCAAATGGATGGTAAATATGATGTTACTGATTGTGAGATTGAGGAGCGAAGTAGTAGTTGTAGAAATGCTTCAGAAGTAAAGATGGCAGAACTAAGTGATACAGAACATGAAAACAGTGTTAACAATGAGTCTAGCTCCCATCATATCCCTATGTCAGTCAGAAACTACAATTTAGATAATCAAAATGTGAAAACATCACCAAATCCAGCAATAACTGTACCTTCTAATGGAAGCCATTCAACTCTTGAAGATCCCAATTTTGTGGAAAACTACTTTAAGGTACCGCTATGGAAAAGTAACTGTATGTTACTGACCAGTAAATTCTATGCTTTTACTTTGTAGTCCTTATTGTGTTATTCCTTGTTGACTATATATATATATATAATTTATACAAAAATATTTTTCCTTGTTTTTATTTCTGCATTTTATTTCTCTTTAATTTTTATACCTTTTAAACTAGAGGCTTATTATCAGTATATTGGGATTTTAGTCATTGTCCCCTTCATGATCATCTGGTTCCACAAGAAGAATTCAAAAAAAGTTCTATTGGTGTGTGTTTCAGCGAGCTTGTTCTTCTGAATGCATATAAATGTTACTGAGAAGAAATTAAGAAGTTTCTGTTAAAAGTAGAAGATAGTGGGCTTATAGTCTTTATAATATATAGCTTGCCAGGAACTTCAAGATTTATGCACTTCTTTTGTTATGCCATGCCAGAAGTTTATGCAAGCCTTTGAAGATGAAGAATGATAGTACATTCAGTTTAAGGCATCTGGCTGTTTCATTCTTCAGTCACAACTCACAACTGAAAAACTATGGTGGATTTAGTTGCCATTTGCTCAATATTACTGTGTTAATGTTTTCTATTTCTATGGCCATGGCATGAGTTAAGAGCACCTTGTCCAGAATCAAGCCTGCTAGGATTTTATCTACCCTTAAAGCCAGCCCAAAAAATCATGATAGGCCAAAGCAAAATTTTAAAAATTAGGAGGGGCCAAATTCTTTTTTAAAAAAAGTTTTTTTTTTCATTATTTTAATAGGTAAAATTTTTATAAAATTCTGGAGGTAGGGTGGGCCTCCCAACCCTCCCTCCCCCCTTTAAAGCAAATTTTAAATGCTTTGTTATTACTCATACCCATTATGTATCAACTAGTTTCTAATTTAAGTTCTCTATATGTGTTCATGTTGTACCGTATCTTCAATTAATATCATACTTTATGGAATTTTCTATACTTTTTGCATGATGAACTAATGTACTGTATTAATTCTGATGAAATACATGCTCAGAATTGACATGTGCTGTTGCAGAAATAAGGCTATTAAATCATGAATTTTTCTTGATAAGTTGTCCTTGACATTCAATTACATCATTGATGGGTGTTATGCAAATATTCAGTGATCATATATTGTATATAGTGGTACTGTTTTTTGGTGATGTGCTGATAAGCTTTGTTTCTGCAGAGCTCAAGACTGCACTTTATAGGAACTTGGAGAAACCGGTACCGGAAGCGTTTTCCCACCTTATCCAGTGATTTTAGGTGCAGAAACTCGGCTATTGATGCTTCTGGTAGTTCTCGGAAGACTACTATCATCCATATAGACATGGTACTTTCATTTAATGAATCCCTGATCTTATAGTTTTTTTATGAAGTAGGTCAATGTCCATGCCCTATGCATAATGTATTTGGGAACCAAAACGCTAAACATAACAGTTAAATCATTAAAGAAGAAAGAAAAGAAAGGGAAAAAAAGAGAGAAGATGAAAGGTATGCTAAAGAATGTATATACTTTTTTTAGTTCTTGACGCAGGGGAAGATGTAGGGCTGTCAGTTTTTAACAAGTAAGCTAGAATAGGGTTGATTGTAGGTGGAACAGTAAATAATTAGGTTTATAACCTTTGAATCTAAACATACAGGTTAAAAATCATTAAATGAAGAAAGAAAACGAAAGGGAAAAAAAGAGAGACGATGAAAGGTTATGCTAAAGAATGTATATAACTTTTTTTAGTTCTTGAACGGCAGGTGGAAGATGTGCGGCTGATCAGTTTTTTAACAAGTAAAAAGCTAGATAGGGTTGATTGTAGGTGGCAAGCAGTTAATAATTAGGTTTATAACCTTTGAATTATAAATATGCAAGGAAAATAAGCATGATTTTACAATGCTACTTAAGTGCTGTCTATTTTTAGTGATAAAATCCTAAAACTAGATTGGAATCCTAATAAAGAAAAGAATATAAAACATCATATTCCTATACAATGATTAAAAATAGTAAATCCTAATCAAATAAGGAAATCGGAAAACTTATGAAAATCTGAAAATAAAACAGATAAATTTTAAATAAAAATCCTAGTTGTTGCAATGAATCCAATTAAAAGGACTATGGATTGCTCCTGCATTCATTCTCCCCGGGTTTGAGAAAGACTCGCGCTCTGACGAGTATTTAGCCCTTGAATATATTCCGCATATATGCGCTGGTGATCATACTTGCTTTAAGCTCTTCTTCAAGAAATCCCATGTACTTTTCAACCTGCTGGGTGTTGGTGGCTCCAAACCACTTAACTAAAAACACTCTCGTCTTATAATTGGGTTCCACGCTAAAGAAACGGAGGCTTCCTTGAACATCCAACTACATTCCTCAACTAACATCAGCCTTTTGCAATTGGCAGCTATTGGGTACTTGTGCTTCAATGGAGGTGCACTCCATCAAATCCATGAAAAGGATACAAGTCTGAAACATTAAAAATTATTGGGCTGATTTTGTAAAATCAAGATGGAGATCAATTACAAATAGGCATTGGAACCTGATCTTCTTCAACACCTTACAAAGGTCCAAACCTTCTAGATTTCAGCTTATGATAAGTTCCTTTAAGGGAAACGTTCTTGTCTTAAGTGGATTGAAGAACCTGATCGCTTTTCTTCTTCAAATTCTTGTACCGCGCCCGATGCTTTTTTTTGGTCTGGTCTGGTGGGATAGGTCATATGATTGCATTTGCTGTCTTTTAAGGTCAGCTTTCACTTCTGTATGAATTTTGACTGATGTGTATTCTAGCAAACAAATTCTCCCCTTCAGCACTTACTCTACGCCTCTTGGCGGCAAGGGGCACTCAAAATCGAAGATAACATTCTAGGTTTAAGTCCCCATAAGCAGACCTCAAAAGGAGTTCTTCTTAATACATCTCGATTACATGAGTTGTTATTACCAAATGCCGAATTACCAACTTGGGGAATAACTAAGATCCCCATAAGTGCTTATGTATTGCTACCCAACGAGACATCGTTTAATAGAATATTCCCAAACTAACGATTGACACCTTCCGTCTGACCGTTCTGTTTTTTGTGGTTATTGGCAAAACCGTACTAGATTATTTCAATTCAGTTCCGGAATTTTCTCCATGAAGTCCTCCAAAGCTGCCCAATAAACTTTCTAACATCTCCTATCTGGTAAACAATAGAAGTCGAAAAACACCATGTAAGTGTTCAACGATCTTCTCGTAAAAATAACATCAAGCAATATGAACTGCATTAAGAAGTCTTGAACCATGGGATAAAATGAAGCCATTTTAGAGAAACGATCCATACAAAAATATACGAATCAAAATCCCTTTGCTGTCTTTGGAAGTCCCAAAACAAATCATACCTCAGTGAAACCCAAGGTGCATCTGGGCTCGGGTAAGGAGTATATTAATCCCCTGTATTCTTGAACGTAGCTTTCCCTTCTCCGAGTATTTAACAGGCTGGACAATCGTTCCATGTCCAATTTTCTCTTGGACATTTTTCACATCTTTTGCCAATAATACGGTCAGAAACAATCGCAAAAGGTCCTTGGGGTCTCTACAAAGTGTCCTCACCACAATCCATTTCCATGAAGTTCTCTAATGATTTGGTTTCCCCTTAAAGATCCTTCAGGAATGCATAAGCTTATTCCGCTTTGAATAAATAACCATCTTTGCATCGGTATGCGCAGAACTTTCCAGCTTCTGAAGAAGTGCAGTAAAGTCAGCCTTTTATCTTGCCAAACCAATGAATCTGAATCAATACTGGTTTTTCAGATTCTTCAAAACCAGTAATTTGATTGTGCTATCAAAATGACAAAATTAGGGATCTTCTACTCAATGGCAATCAGGCCACAATATTAGATTGACCGGATTTATACTATTAAGTGAGCAAAATGGTAAAATTCATCAAGGAACAGAGAGGATCTTAGCAAGTCGATTGTTATGAGAGTGAGAAATTAAATTCATCAAGGAAAGAACTCCACTTAGCATGTCGATTATTGAGTTTATTCTGAGATTTTAGATACCTCAAGGCCTGATGATCATAAAAAACCACAAACTCACGATAAGCTAAGTAATGTTGCCAATGTCGAATAGCTCTTACCAAGGCATAGAACTCTAGATCATAAGTTGAGTAACGCTTCTTAGCTTCAGACAACTTTTCACTAAAAAACTCAAGAGGTTTGCCCTCTTGGCTAAGAACAGCTCCAATCCCTTCATGTGAAGCATCACATTCGATCATAAATAATTTCTCAAAATCTGGAAGTGCAAGAACAGGTGCTCTAGTCATCAAAAACTTGATTCTTTCAAATGCCTTTTGTGCAGAATTTGTCCACTCAAACTTTTCTTCTTTCATAGATTCAATTATAGCACTCATAATTGAGCTGAAATTTTGGATAAAAATCTCCTTATAACTGAAAGAGCCCAAACCATGAAAGCTTATCTTAAAACTTCTTTGATGGATTTTGTGGTGCTGGCCATTCAAGATAATCTGCACGAACCTTTTCTGGATCTGGTTTTTAATCCTTCAGCCGGACAAACAAATTGTATCCCAGGAATAAACCCACTTCTGGTTTGCAGGATTATTGCATTTTTTTTAGGTTTATGTGCTCTAGCTGCCTTGACGAAGTTACTTCTAACACTTGTCGCAAGTGTTTTAAAATGATCTTCACTCGGTGCGGCTTATAAATCAAATGCTTCATCCCGATGAATATACCACAGTATTCGAAAGAATTCAAGAAAGGTTTTTGAGTAATCCTTGTTCATGACTCTCATGAATGTGCTTTGGTGCATAAGAAAAGGCAAATGGCATTACTAAACCATAGTCAAATAAACCCATACTGGTGTCATTAAAAGCTGTTTTCCAATCAATCACCAATCCTCATTCTAATTTGGTGAATATCCATTTTCAAGTCCAATTTTGAGAACACTTTAGAACCCGCTAGTTGATCAGCATATCCTCCAATCCTTGTATTGGAAAGCGATATTTAAATTGTAATCTGTTTATAGTCACGACCTAATGGTACACACCCAAGCATGTGCTCTCAAGAACCGCTCTTTCTTTGTGTTAATAAGGCTGGGCAAAGCACAATTGGACTTTTACTTTCAACAGCACCAGACCTCTATTTATTAACAAAATAATCCTCCATGTACAATGTCTGTGTCGTATTGTCAGGCCCGCACTGTAAAGGAGCATTTCCGGTGAGTAGCAGGCGGAGATTTGGTAAAGGGCTGTCCTCCTGGTAACCAAAATCAAATAGCATGTTTGGTGCCTTTCTTTATGGTGGCAAGCTTTTCGGTACATCTTCATTAATCGCAGTCTCCTATGAAATTCCTATCTCTAGAGGGCAATAAAATGGCGTTTGGTGAGATTTCAAAGGAATATTTTCAACTGAATTTTTCGCCATATTAAGCCTGGTCAGCTCCTATTAGTTTGCTTCACTAAGGCATTATGTGACTCCCCCTTCGGAGAGTCCTCGCAGCTGCTAAATTCCTTTAACATTACAAGCCCATTTTAATTTTTACTTAGTTGCACGCTTCCCTTTTATTTGCTGTTTGGGCCTTGTTCTTCTTTCTGAAGAGGATGCTAAAGTGTAGCTTTCTTGTTGTTCCTTGTAGAAACGAATAAGTATTAAGGCCTTGGTCTTGTGGTCCATCATTCATGAATTCATACAACCAAGGTCGTCCCACCAGAAATATGCCCAATCCATGTGGTAACTACATTTCAACATAATGCCTTTCATGACTACCAAGTCATCCTCCCATTGTGATATTTTGCACTAAGCCGATTGAGATGGTTTACTTTTGGTATCGATCATGTTCTTTCTTCAACACAACCTACTTTAGTATGATTAGGAATGTTTTTTGTTGATACCGGAAAGCTCTAAATTTTTCTTACGGCCTCTTTGATATTATATTTTCCAATACTTTCCTACCATTAATTGACTAAATTACAACAAGCATTTTGCCTTCACAAATAACAACGTGTACGGAAAATGCTAACGCCTTCCCTCCCATCTTCTTTTTCCTTCTTTGTTCATGGCTGTCATGACACTGGTTATCGAACAACTAAAGACTCACCTTGAGCTGGATGAAAGACAGTAAATATTCATTCTACTTCCTCATCATTTTTCAAAAAATAGGGCATTGGTTCTTCATCATACTATCGGCTAAATATAACCCTTCCTTTGTAGGACAGATGAATGAAGTATGTCCCTTTTACTCAACACAACGTACACAACGAACTTTGAGAATAATTGTTGCCTCTCACTGTAGACGCTCCCAACCAGAAATTGTTTTGTCGACCATTAAGGTACAATACCTTTCCCTTTTTACCGTTCACCGGTCAACACAGGCTGTCATCCTTCATTGTATATGTATTAGTAGCGGCAGCCTCTTTCCAACTGCTAATCGTTGAGTTGTTTGAAGGGGAAATCCCATCGTGCAGAGTCCGAAATTGTTATTTGCAAATGCTACTGCTTATGAAGGGCCATTCTTCAGCACCGTAACGAGAAAACAATGGTCGCTTTTATACAAGCTTGCTAAGGAGAAGCCATATTGGCAAAAGAGGCATACTTTCAAGATTGTGGTTAAATCGGACAATAACTGCCGCATTTCATCTCTAAGGGACTGATTCAAACCAGCAAGGTATGGAGAGGTAATTTGTTCGTACTTTCAGATAATTCCAACTCGAATGGACAAATTTATTAAATTTCTGCATGTGTACTCTATACAACGACAATGCTATTTGTTTTCAGCAGTGAACCTTTCAAATGAATAGTTCCATTTGCGTAATTTCAGCTGCCTAAAAATTGCTTCCTTAAGCTTTTAGTTTTATCAATGTGCTCAGACACGAATGTTGCTGATTTTAAGCTTTCTTTTCCTTGTCCGTGCACGCTTGCTCCCTCACTCTCTTGGACGTAATTCGAACGTGCAGTAAAACTCTTGTAATTTAAAGCTTTACAAAAAGCCACTTTTCGGGTTTCAATCCATTGGTTTGGGGCATTCAAAAATAATTTTCTTAAACTTCTTCCGCCAATCTAAAATAGTCTTCGCATGCCGATTTTTTCCATAAAAAAAAATTCAGCAACTTCAATTTTATTCCCTTCCACTATTTAAATTCAAAGAGCATGAAGTGAACACCGCTCTTCCAATCTTGCTAACGTGCTGCTGCCGGGTTTTGCAGGTGCAGCTTCATGAAAGGGTTTAACGTCCTCTGAAGACTTACCTCTTCACTCTCACGAGCTTCTTGAAAAATCAAGGTTTTGGTGGTTGCCTTCCGGAGTATCCATTCGCCCAGCTTCCACGGTTCCCTGACGCTGCAAGGCTTGTACAGCCCGGGCAAATCCTCATCATTTCAAGGCAGCGCAATCTCTAGCTATTTTCATCTTGTTGGGGGGCTGATTGCTCCTTTGCCTCTGCCTCTGCCTCGGTTCCAACCATGGTTTAATTCAGACAAAAAAAAAAGAATCGTGAGGCATCTGTTCTGTGGGTGGTGCTCTGATACAGTTGACACGGCAGGGGAAAGAATGTAGGGGCTGTCCAGGTTTTTAACTAAGTGAGAGACTAGAATAGGGTTGATTGTAAGGGGAACTTGTTAAATAATAATAGGTTTTAAATAAACCTTGAATTAAAAGGATTATGTATATGGAAATAAGAATGGATTTACAATGCTACTAGTAAGCATGATCTATTTTTATAGTGACTCAATCATAAAAGGATTAGGAATCCTAATAATAGAAATAATTAAAACTGCTATTTCCTATTGGGCAATGATAAACATAGTAAAATCCTAATCAAATAAGGAAACGGAAAACTAAATGCAAATCTGAAATAAAACAGTAAATTAAAATAAAATCGCTAGTCTGTGCTAGAAATCCAATTAGGAACTAGGATTGCTCCTAGGGCATCAGTTTCTTCAAATACAAAGAGTTTATCACCATTAAAGTAATTTTTAATGACTAATTCCAAAATAATTTTTGATGTAATAAGAATTCCAAGTTAGCTGATGAAAATCCATCAAAGAATTAAGGGTGGTATCTCCCCCCCCAAAAGAGAGGAGAGGAAGAGAGAGAGAGGAGAGGCGAGAGTGACAGAGGAAAACGAAAAAAAAAAAGGAGTTGCAAAATTATTTCTTGCAGCCTGTCTTTCACATTTAATGCAGGAAATAATTAGTTTTGAACGGAAAACTAATGCAAATCTGAAATAAAACAGTAAATTAAATAAAATCCTAGTTGTGCTAGGAATCCAATTAGGACTAGGATTGCTCCTGCATCAGTTCTTCAATACAAAGGTTTCACATTAAAGTAATTTTTATGACTAATCTCCATATTTTTGATGTAATAAGAATTCAAGTTTAGCTGATGCAAAACCTCAAGAATTAAGGTGGTCTCCCCCCCCCCCAAAAGAGAGAGAGGAGAGAGAGAGAGAGAGCGAGAGTGACAGAGAAAAGAAAAAAAAAAAAAGGGAGTTGCAAATTATTTCTGCAGCCTGTCTTCACATTTAAGCAGGATAATTAGTTTTGCTATAATTGTAGTCCCTCACTCCCTCTCTACTGTTATTTTTTTCTCCTACTTTCTCTGGAACTGCCAATCTATAATAACAAATAATCAGGGAAATTTCTGGAATATGGAATTATTCATAAATGTATGATAGCTCTATCATGTGAATGAATTTTGAAATAAAAGACCCACTAATTGCTTAAAGAGATACGGTATTAATGGGGAAGAGAACACTTTCAAGTGGTTTTGAGAGTATATGGACCTGATAAGGGTAGTATTCCCCTGCAAAGTACTCTTCCACCTTCCTCACCTTTATTACATAGATAGAAATCATTGATTTTAAATCAGAATGAAATTTCGACCTGGTATTTCATTTGATACTTTGTTTAAGAGGTCTGCCCTCTTTTTATTAAAAAGTTTAATCTGGATATTTTGCAAGAATTTCTTTCCCCAGTTCCCCTTGTTTTGTTTTCTTATGCAGTCAAGGACACTAATTTGATTCACAGGACTGCTTTTTTGTCTCGGTAGTCATTAGGAACCATCCTGAGTTACACGATAAGCCTGTAGCTATATGCCATTCAGACAATCCAAAAGGAACTGCTGAAATTTCCTCTGCCAACTATCCTGCCCGCAAACACGGTTTGTTTTATGTTGACTTATTTCTCAATATTATCAGTCCATTTGGGTGTTTATTTTGTATTCAAGTGATATGCTGTTCTATTCAGGGGTTAAGGCTGGAATGTTTGTTAGAGATGCAAAAGCTCTTTGTCCACACCTGACCATTTTCCCTTACAACTTTCAAGCCTATGAAGAGGTAGTTATGCATTTAACCACTGAATTTCTATTTAAATTCTCATTGATGATGAAGAAAATTTGTGTATCATTGTCCTTTAGATTGTACTTGATGATGAATACATATAAATATATTGCCTAATCCGCAGGTTGCTGATCAGTTTTATAATGTCTTACACAAGCACTGCGACAAAGTACAGGTCTACTATTGGAAGCACATTCTTTGAGTTGTTGTAATTTTTTCGTTGCAAAATTTGTTGATAATTTTGGCTGTTTTGATCATAGGCTGTGAGCTGTGATGAAGCTTTTTTAGATATTACAGACTTTGGAAGGGGAGATCCTGAGCTTGTAGCTTCAACAATACGAAAAGAAATTTTTGAGACAACAAGATGTACTGCTAGTGCTGGAATAGGTGAGAACATGCTTATGGCCCGCCTTGCCACTAGAACTGCTAAGCCTGATGGTCAATGCTACATCCCTCCTGAAAGGGTATGCTTGTGGACTGTTTTTGATTAGTTTGTTTTTTTTGCTTCCCATGGCTTTGGAATTTGTATACACTCATATTTATGGGTCTGATAATTTGTTTGGATTCTCGATCCTTTGCTTCGTAACGACCATTTATTTCTTCATTATATTTGGCAGATGGCACATGTTCATGTACTTGTAATATTGATTTTATATAGCATTGAAATATGGCTTATCTGAGTTTGCTTATTTCAAAATCTAAGGATATCTTTTGAATTTATTAATATATGTTGTTGATCTTTTTCATTTCCTTTTATAAATTCAAGGATATCTTTTAAATCCAATTGACCTAAGATCATTTTCTGATCTAAATACATTTTAGCTTTTTTGGAATTTTTTGTTGCATGTCTCTTTCAATCATGGTAATAATTTCATCTGTTTGTTTGCGCTACTGGCGGTCGGCACTATGGATGTTTGGATGTGAAAGTGGAAGAAAGAAAAATTGGATGGAGAGAGAAATTTGTGGATGGGGGTTCTAGTGTAGGAAGGAAAATGAAATTCTTTCATCCTTAGGGAACCACATGAATAGCTGCAATCTGAAAGGATTGGGAGGCAGGAATTCTTTCTGTTCCATCTTTCCATTCTTATTGATGAATCAAACCTTGCTATAACAGGTCTTCATATTATGTTCTATTCTTTTCTTTGCCTAACAACAAGGCATTAATAAGGAAAGATGGGTACCTTTCATTTCTCCACTCTTTCCTTACATTTTTATTTCCTGCCATTTTCACCATTTAACGTGGGATGATTCATACAATGGGTCACCCTAACATTTCTTGGATGCCATGGTCATTGATGGTCATTAAAATTCTTAGGTCATTTGCTTATTTTTGAACTAAATGCGACAGACTATAAATCTGCTAGATACAGCTTGTTAAAATTGCAAGAAGATTTTAACTACAGAAAGTGCCGTTCTTTGCCATGGAAGTTTTAAAGAAAGTTACATAATAATGCTTTTGAGGACTTACTGTTTGTTTTGACCTTCATCTACAATTTTGTTAATAATATGTTGATTACAACAAATTTGTTTCATTGATGAACATATCTGACAAGCAAAGATACCTAAGATGATTTGTACATCTAATACTACCTAAAACCTGAAAATTATGTTCTAACTTTCTACTTAAATATTATAGTACTCTAAATATGTAAATTATGGTTGCTATTTCACTAATTAAAGTGGTTTGGCTATCATAGGTGGATGAGTACTTGCATGAACTTCCGATTAAGGCACTTCCCGGAATAGGCTATGTTTTAGAGGAGAAGTTGAAGAAACAAAATGTTTTGACTTGTGGACAATTGCGCCTGATTTCTAAGGTCAGAATCAACAGAAGCATGATTTTCTTTGTGTATGTTTTGAAATAATTTGCTGACTAGTTTCTTTTCATACTGATTGATTGTGCAGTGTCTGCTCTCACTTTTGTGGTCTATCCAATTTTAGCTTCTATTTGTTTAAAATCTATCTAGTTTTATGATAACTTGAATCAATCTTGATCTGAATCTGATATCATTGTCCCTTTTTCTTTAACAATAAAAATTTCACAATGATTCCGTTCTCTCTCTTGAATTTTTCAATGGAAAAGGAAATAAGAGAAAGTATATTGAATCCATTAAGCAAATCCATAGATGGTCGATGCTAATAAATCTATAAATTGTTAATGCTTTGACTCTGAAATAATTGGCATTGGAATAAATGATATAGAGTATTAGCCAAAACTCTCAACAGATCTTTTACTGAACCTGTAGCCTAATAAGCATTAGTGACTAGTCAAGGAAGTGGATAAATTGATGAGCTATTTGTTTATATCATATGATCTAACAGAAAAACAGACAAGTTTATTATGAAACTATTATAATATTCCTTGCAGGGCTATACAACATCATTAAATAAAAGGACTTGTGAATAGTCTATTTTTAATTCATCACAGTTTATATGGAATAAATTACATTAGGGAAACATGCATAAATTTTAAGGACTGCTTGGCCACTTGAGATTTATTATAGCAGATGTGTGATTGCTCTTTGATGCTGTTCAGGAAAGAACTTGCTTACCGCTGTATGCTTTGGAAGAAGCTTGTACAGTCTGGGACACTGCATTTTCTTTGAATCTTGTTCTTTTTTTATCCGGGAGACGACCTTGCACACCATCATTTAGCTATACTTCGGGGTGTTGAAATTTGGCTATGAAAAGTACCTAGTTTTAAGAAAGTAATAGTTACAGGTTACACAATATCATCATTAGAAGTTCCATTTTGTTTAGCATTTTTCATTATTCAGGTATCTTGAAAGTGAAATCACTGGATTCTTAATCAAAAAAATGAAGCACAAACATTCTGTTGGAGTGAGAAAGGAAGGGAGACAACATAAAAAAAAGAACTAAATACCAAAAAAGAACGAAAATTTTATCTGCCGAATTTCTTTTTCTTGCTCTTTTCCATTTTCAACGTGAAGTTTTCTTCTTCTTTTTTTTTTTTTTTTTTTTTTTTTTTTTTATGTGGGAGGAAAGTTCCATGTTTGTTTAGCATTTTTCATTATTCCAGTTGGGTATCTTGAAAGTGAAATCACTGATTCTTAATCAGAAAAAAAAATGAGCCACAAAACATTCTGTTGAGTGAGAAATGGCAGGGAGACAACAATAAAAATAAAGAAGGCTAAATACCAGAAAAAAAGAACGAAGAATTTTATCATGCCGAAATTTTCTTTTTCTTGTTTGCTCTTTCCATTTTCAACCGTGAAGTTTTCTTCTTTCTTTTTTTTTTTTTTTTTTTTTTTTTTTTTGGTTGTGGGGGGGGGGATTGGGGGAGTTTTCGATGTAGAAAAAACGTCGGTTGGTCTTCAGTTTTGCTGCTCGGTTCAATCTGTGCGATAGCAGGTCTCCTGGTTTACAGCGTCCGTTTGTACTCCTACAGACGTTTGCTGTTAATTGTTTAAGCAATCACATATTTTCCCATCACAACAGAATGCTTGACCAATACGTGATTTTAATTAAAGCTGATTAGAGGAATAATTTGATCGCCTATAGTTGATGTCCTAACTTTTCCGTTTTTTTTTTTTTTTTTGGGGGGGGGGGGATTGGGGGAGTTTTCGATGTAAAAAAACGTCCTTTCTCAGTTGCTCTCTCAATCTTTGCATACAGTCTCTGGTTACAGCAGCCGTTTGTACTCCTACAGACGTTTGCTTAATTGTTTAAGCAATCACATACTCCCATCACAACAATGCTTGACCAATACGTGATTAATTAAAGCTGATTAGAGGAAAATTGATCCCATAGTTGATGTCCTAACTTTCCGCTAAAAGCAAGCTAAGCCACACACTTAAATCCTTCTATAAACATCTTCTACAGATAAAAATTGTCAAAAAAAAAAGTCTACAACTAATCATTGCTAATATGACAGCAATGAGTCACAATCTTCAAAACTTTCATTGAGCTCAAGGTCTGGTTTGTGTCAGCATGATGTGGTCCCGCTGTGATCTTTCTTGGGCAGTGTTATTAAAGGCCCAAGGCGCAAAGGTTCCTGGAGCCTGAAATGCAAGGCTCATCGCCAGTTGTTTGCCTAATGGATATAAGGCACATGTTTTAGATGTATGGGGATTAGTCATCTTATGTTATCTGGAATGATGTTAACTCATTGGGGATAATCTGTTATTTTTTGCATGACATGGTTGACCATTTGTGATTCATGTAGAAACTAGAAAGAGCTTGTGAGATTCTTTTATATGCTTCACAAATTTAATTTCCTATTTCATAAGAATGTTTTTGCTTATGGTAAATTAACGCAAGGGGATACTCTATTATCTTACTGCAAATGCTTTCATCGAATCTTTAGGACTCTCTTCAAAAGGATTTTGGCATCAAAACTGGAGAAATGCTTTGGAATTATAGTAGAGGAATAGATAACCGACTTGTTGGAGCAATTCAGGTTTGTTGAAGAAGATGACTTCAACTAATCACGTGATTTTAAATGTTCATTGTACTTTAGCTCTCTTGTTTAGATAAATCTTTATTTATTACTTTTCCTTGTGCTTCACATTCACCATTCTCTTAGCACTTGTGATGGTTGATGATCTGCAGGAAAGCAAGTCTATAGGTGCTGAAGTAAATTGGGGTGTGAGATTCAAAAATTCACAAGATGTTGGTATTCTTTCGCACTATGGAAGCTAGTTTTTACTGTGGTTTTATTTTCTTCTTTTACACAAATCAAATGACTCAAAAAATGATAAACTGATTACTCCAGAGTCAGCATTTCCTATTAAACCTTTGCAAGGAGGTTTCATTACGCTTGCAGGGATGTGGACTGCAAGGGCGGACCTTTACCCTTAAGGTATTCCCTCCCCACCCCCCAAATCCTTTTTTAATGGGAAGAGTTTGATATTTTAATATTTGAGTACTGTTTTGAATTGCATAGATCTCTTTTGATCGGCCTCCTTCAATTTTTCTTTCATGTTGTGTGTTTATTGTAGAGTGATTCTTTTTTCTCATGGCATGAACTAACTTAAAATGTTGTTCTTTGATTTTGATTTGTGTAGATAAAGAAGAGAAGAAAAGATGCTGGGGAGCCTACTAAGTATATGGGTTGTGGGGATTGTGAGAATCTGAGCCACTCAATGACGGTAACTATGGGCCAAGCATGTTCTTTCTTTGGATTAGAGGCTCATTTTTACGAGTTGTTTGGCATGACAGGTTCCAATTGCTACCGATGATGTTGAAGTGCTTCAGAGGGTAACAAAGCAACTCTTTGGGTCTTTCCACTTAAGTAAGCTGGTTTGTTCAGTTCAAAATATTGTGTATTTTGATTTGAGGCAATCCCGTTTCAATATATCGTTAATATGTAATTTGTGATAGAACATGAAACATATTGCTTGTAGCAAAGAAAAGAATAGTGAACTTCATATGCATTTCTGATTGGTTTAAGGCATTATTTGGTAGGGCTCTATTTTTTTTTTTTTAATCAAGCATTGGTTATCCAACTGGTTTACTCCTTATCTTGTTGGATGGAAAGCAAGAGCCAAAAGAAAGCAGAAAAGATATAGCTCGTCTAGGAACTGTGGATTTTCCACTTGTTTCCTAGTTCTTTTGCGACTTTTTTCCTTTACTATTTTCTTTTATTTTTTTTAAAAAGAGGTGAGATGATAGGTTCTATAGTATTGAGAAATTAAAATATTAAAGTTTGTATTCCTTTATAACATAATTTAGCTGCAGAAGTCTCCTCCCTTCCCGTGGAATTTGGAAGTTGGGTTAAAGCTAGTTCAGAAAAATGCAAATGCACAAAAGCTATGAGACCTGATAAATATGGTCCTTTTTTTCACTTTTTATTTTAGTTAAGTATACGTATGTGATACGAAACAACATTATGGAATATACATGATTAGGAAAATTTTGTTCTTTAACTTTTCTCTATTTAGCTTCAGTTGTGGAATAGAGAATTAAAACTGATCTTGATCATTTGGGTTTACTAGGTATAGCTTGATTATCTCACTTCATTGATTTGTTTAATACTCATGCTCTTTTCTCTTCAGAGCATATTCACCTTTTTATTTTTTATTTTTTTATTTTTTTATTTTTTTATTTTTTTGTGTTGCCTTCTATTGTAATCCGTAAAATAAGCACTACAACTATTAATTTCTAGTGGGGATGGTTGAACTAATGCTGACCTTTGGATTATCTTACATAGATGTACAGGACATTCGTGGAGTAGGCCTGCAAGTTTCCAAGCTTCAAAATGCAGATGTTTCCAAGCAGGGTATATTTGTATAGTTTTGAAAATAGTTTATTTCATCTACATAATGCGGGAAAGATATTTTCCAGTATATGTTGCCTATTGGTTGATTAAATGAGAAGGAACATTCCTTCTGCTACACTTTCCCCTTTCCTCTCCTAGTTATGATATTCAAATTGGCCCTTGATTTCTAATTATATAAATTATTATATAAACTTTTATATATATTTTTTTGTATCTGTATATCGTATATATTTGATATATTTTCTTGGTTTCAAGGGCTTGAAAGACATTCTTTAAGATCATGGCTTACCTCTGCCCCAGCAACAGTGGAAGAACGGAATAGTATTAATAGCATATCCAATAAGAGATCTAATATAGGTAATTGAATTCTCATGTGGTGAAATGTGACGCATGTAACAAACATTGGTTTTAAGAACTGCAAAGTTGCCAATCATTTATTGCATGATCTCTGTAAAATATGAAGCTGAGTTGTTATGACCTTGGGAGAATCATACCTCCAAAACTAGCCATTGATGTTAGAGAGCCTAAATTCATATAAACCCCACATTGAAATCCCATACTTCCAATGTGGGATCCAAGATAAGTCTCATACCTTGTCTTGTGTTGGATCCTAACATTCCTACTATGCTCGGCAGCCCCAGTGTCCACAGTGGGTTGGCTTTTTGCTAGGGCTTTGTGTGCTAGTTCTTTTTTTTTTCCTATCATAGCTCGGGTGAACGCTAAATACCGTCACCGCCTATCCCTGGGCTATCATTGCAATTCTAGCGTCACCACCGGCGTCGCTCGATTGCAACTTGGAGAACCAATGGTTGCCTTTGATACCAACTATTGTTAACTTTGGGAGAATCATTCCTCAAAAGCTAGCCATTGAGAGTGGGGAACCTACGTTTATATGAACCCCAATTGAAATCCCAAACTTCCAATATAGTTTCCAAGGCAAATTCTATACCTTATCTTGCAACTAGGGTCCCAACACGAGTTTTGGTATAAAGAAATTGACTTGTGTAGTGTCTAGGTCTGGGTGTTGCCTATTTGTGGGTGCATGTGTTATGTGTGCATTCTTGTTTGCTGAAACTTTAAACAAGGTACTTTAATCTCTATAAGAGTGGGCAATGGGCAAAAGAGGGGCTTACCTATTAGCGGTGCTCCCAGAGTTGCTTTATTGATTTTTATCCAGCTGCTTTGATGTCATTACAGTTAAAATATACTGCTTATGTTATGATTTCATTTTTCAGATCGTGGGTTACAAAATACTTCATGTAATCTATTTCTCACTGTACTGTAATTTCTGCTTAAATTACTACCAGTTTTTAATGATGAAGCTTCTTTTAATCATGTTTCAGCGCCACCTCCCCTTTATGATCTTGATATGGGAGTTATTGAGGGTCTTCCACCAGAACTATTTTCAGAACTAAATGAATTTTATGGGGGGAAGTTAGTAGATTTCATTGCCCAAAGTAAAGGAAAAAGTGAAAATAGCAGTGGTTCTTCATGCATCCCTTCTCATGAACGAGGAAAAGGTGGCTTTTCTTGCCATATAGCTGATGCAATTCTATTCTACTAGTGGCTCATGGACTTTTATCTTAGGTGCAACAGGTTATGGCAAGGGACATCTCGCATCTAATGAATTTCCCCCAAATACAATACTAGTGAAATACAAGGTAATAATTTTCATGTGCCTTGCCATGCATTTGTTCTGCGATGCCCTTTTAACTGGCCTACTGGGCAGTTGAGCAACTCAAGCAAACCGTCCTGCAGTGTGTAGCCTTTTTCTCAGTTTGTCAATACTGCTGCAGGCATCACTGATGAGTGTAATTGACAAGTCATTCCACTTTTGGCTCATGAATGTATATTTTACATAGTCATTTAGTGATATATACTTTATATGCCCTACCCTTGACATGAACTTGGAAATGGTAGTTTTTATTTTTAATTTTGTGTCATGATAGACAGTAATTTAGCTACCTTGAAGGCTGATGCTGCCAGTACAAGTAAATGCTTATTATTCCCTGTCTGAAAATTTGCATAAAATTCATGTTTTGTTCATTTGGACAAATGGCGCATCATTACTTTTGGCTTGCATCATGATGAACTTTGTATCTTTTGCCAGGGAAAGCAGCAAATATCTGAGGAAGCACCATCAGCAATTGCTATTTCTGGTGATGGATCCTACAATGAGGCTATTCGAGATGCAGGCCATGGAAATCCTGATTTAATGCCCTCATCTCTAAGTCAGGTTGATACTTCAGTGCTGCAACAGTTGCCTGAAGAATTGAGAGCTGACATTCTTGGACTGCTTCCTTCACACAGGGGAGAAGAGTCGACTTCAGATGCATCCTTGGTTCCTCTTAAAGAAAATCCTCAGGAAGCATTAAAAATTGCCGACTATAAATCCATATCGGTTAACTCTGTTCTGAACAGTGATCTTTGGAATGGAAATCCTCCACAGTGGGTTGATAAGTTCAAAGTTAACAATTGCTTGATACTAAACACTCTGGCTGAGACGTATTACAAATCGGGTTCAGTGGGAAATTTATCATCTATAATGCAGTGTGCAATTTCTAAATTTCTATATCATCTGAATGAAAATGACGATAGTTGGGGTTGGGGTGATGAAGCTACTTATTACTTTTGTGAACTTCTCAGGCAGTATATTAACCTTAAGATTGAATTTGACATTGAAGAGATTTATGTTTGTTTTCGCCTTCTTAGAAGGTATGCACAATACCTTATTGACAATTTCGCGCTCTCTCTCCCTCAGACACACACATGCACACACGTGGACATGTGCATGGCCACCTGGATGCCTTATATTTTTAGTTATCTGCGATTGTGCTGCTAATAGTTTGATTTTTGAGCTTGCTTTCTTTTCTTTTCCCCTTTTTTTTTTTTTTGGGTGAAAACTTCTTACTAAATCATCCTACATTTATCTTTCATTATTGCTTCAGGTTTATGAAAAAGTCAAAATTCTTCTTGCAAGTGTATGATATTGTCTTCCCATATCTTCAGGTTAGAATATTCACTTTCGTATTCTCTATTTAAAATTTTTCAAATGGTAGGCATCTTTGACGATTATTCTAGCTATTTTTTCTCTCTCTATAAGAATATGTCATGTGAACAAGGATTTTTTTTTTTTGGTATGAAGCTTGTTAATGAATTACAAGCTAAATTCATGTACAATTTTTTTATTTTTTATTTTCTTCAAAATTGTTAATGTGAGAAAAGTTTAGTGAAGAAAAAGAGAAAGGATTACAACATGGAGACTGAGGGTTCCCTTTTTCTGTCCTAAAAACAAGAAAAAATGTAAAAAAGAAATACAAATTTGAAGTCGTTTCTTGTTGAGTAATGCTGAAAGACATTTCCATGGAAGGCCCAAATGCTCTTGCTCATAAAGAAGCCAGGAAAATTATTGTTTCCCTCAATTGCTTACAGACAAGAATAGATTTTTAAGTATGAGAATCGCACTCCATTCAATTGCATCATAAGTCATAACACTGCCTAAAGCATAGGTCTGAAAAGCTTCAGCATCTTTTTTCAACCACCAAATTTCTCCATTTTAACCAATGAAGTCTCGAGAGAACCTGGATATGATACCAGTTCTCCCTAAAATTACCGGAGTTTCATATCACCTGAGCCACCTTGGAATAAAAATGAGAAAGAGAATTACTGTGCTACATGTGAAACACTGATTAAAGAGCTTTATTATTTTTTTTTTTCAAATTTATTTTTTTAAAAGTTCATTTGTGTTCACATTATAGAGAGCTGCTAACCTAAAGGAAAGTTTTATCTTGAGCATTACCTTTGGCTTCCAAATCTTATTACCCAATAGGGACAATAAACGTGGTAGCACGTCCATGGGGCTAGTGCTGTTCATCAGGTCATATTGGACCCAACAACCTTTTTTTTTCTGCATGCTAATATAATTTTATGAGAAAAGTTCAAAATAGATTACGTAATAGCTAGTAAACTTAAAACCATATTACATAATACTCTTGTCACCTGTATATCAGACCCGATGAACAGCTCTACATGGTACATGACAGAAGTCCATTAACCTTATTCTTGTCACTTTAATCATTGTGAATTTCCTTGTCCAGAGCGATTATTTATTATAATCATGGTTAGCAGGAAAGAGGTTTTGAAGGGAGCGGGGGTTATCACCTTGCTAAATCTTTTTTTGTTTTGTATTTTTGAGTGTTTTTGTTCTGTATTATTGCAAGATTGACTGTATTTTCTAGCAGTGGCTCTATGGGTTATTGACAATTTCAAGTTTCAGAATATGTAATTAAACTCATACAAACTTTCTAAGTCTTCTAAGGGTGGCGCTATAGCAAGTGTAGTGGGGTCAAGTTGAAAAATTTAAAAGTATATATTATGTGAAAAATTTCAGAGTTTTTAATCCATTTGACTCCACTAAAAACCAGATTAATTAAATGATTCATTGAAAACTATTTCTAGCTCTGCCTACTAATTTTTGTCCCATCAACACCTATGGAATTCTGTTTATGATTTGAATCTACAAAACTAGACTGGTTAGTATTTGTCTTCTTTCAACTTCACAGATATTTAGGATTGTACTTCTGGAGGTTAAGCATTTGGTTTTGTGTAACTTTAAGTTTTTTCATATAAAAAACAGTCTAATGTTATCATTTTCTTGCTTTATGTATGCTGTGGTTTTTTTATTAGACATGGCTATATGTCTAATTTGTTTCCTTTTGAGCTCTATTGTCAGGCATCTGTAGGAGAACATTATGGAGGAAATTTGCATATTTCACTGAATGACTAGTGCTTCTTTTGACAAGATTTCATGTATAATCACATTGACATTCACCATCATGCTGCAAGGGTAGCAATTCATGGAAGAGCTACCATAAGTACTTCTGTTATCCCATTTCAGGTATGCACTGATTACCAATTCAAAGGGTCAGATGAGAAAGTAGCTTGCATAATATAATTTCAAATTTCCTTTCCCTGAATTATGAATTTATCAGTTTATGCTCTGGGATGCTAGTAATCTTTGCGGCTAGCATTTCTATCAGGAAATGAAATTTCAGGTTGTTATAATGTGGGAAGGCACTTTGTTTCCTTTCTTTCTTCTTTCTTTCTTTCTTTTTGGCTGAAGTTAAATTTTATGTCCACTCGATTTAGCTGGTGTTGGCTGGATAAAAACGCATATTCTCAACCCCACTCCGCTCCTCTCCCCCTTCTTCAATCTATATAATCCACATCTTTGTATTAGCTGGAGTTGGCTGGATAAAAATGCATATTCTTTTTGTCCCCCCTTTCAGTCTATAATTCACTTGTTTGTTTCATTATATCTTTTTACCCTAACCTTTATGGATGTAGTTAATAGTATTGCTGTAGTTTCTGCCTAAATGGCAAACCATCTTGCTCAATTCACTGTCACATTCTCATAAGTTGTTGTTATTGTGAAATTCTGATGAACACTTTCATTTTAGTCTTACATTTCAATTGCGCATTGAACATTGTCTATTTTTCCCAATTTTCTATGTTGTTATTTATTTATTTATTTATTTATTTATTTTGGTTTTTGTTTCCAGTTAACATCAGACGTATTTTCTCAGGATGTTTTTTTAGTTTCCTGTCAGAAAGGATGAACTTTTGATCCTCTACATATAAAAGAACAAGATGGACTTCAGTGCTTTAGGTTAACATCACATGTAAATCATCTTTCAGGTGATTAGCTGACTAAAAGCATCTTTTTAGTTTTTTGGATGAGGAGACAATGAAATATCCAAGTTCCCTTCTTTTTCCATCTTTTTTGTTCAAGTGCATATAAACTAAAAACTATGAGCTCTTTTAATATTCTCACTTTCATCTCATTTTTCTTAGTTGCAGTTGTATTAGTCCTGACAGTTGAAATACATCGCAGTTCAATTCTTTCCGAGTCCACATCAGAGGATGATGATTTGGTGCATCTACTTTTTATGCAATGCTGTACCAGAATGAGGTGGAAATTATCAGGAATGAGTTGAAATGGGTTGGAAGATGCAATTCCTGGCATATTCCGTAACTGAGTTGCAGTTTCTGCTGGTTCGAACGCAATAATTCCGAAAAGCCTGTCTTTGTAGGTTGCCTTTGTTAGATAACATTAATTAATTCCTTAAGGAGGAAGAATGCACAAGCCTGGATGGTACTTAATGTAACATGCCTCTTTTGTAATCACAGCAAGGGCTCCTAAATTTTGGCTTACAAAGAGCAGTTCAGCTATAAAATATTTTGTCTGACTAAAGGTTTCCTCCTCTCCCAATACTCAAAAATAAAAAAAAAAATATTTTGTCAAAGTAATTTATAATTAAGTTTGTTAATATAGTTATGTTCTCTAAAATATTTTATTTGTAATTATGAATAAAAATATCTTATTTTTAGTAAGAATGGATATTCAAATGTCCCCAAAATGAAGCCAACTCAAGTTAGATTGTCGCGTGATAGCAGTGTGCTGAGGGGAAATGTTTCTATCTATAAAATATTACATATATTTTTAGTTTATATTACAATTGAAAAGATATTTAATTACTTCATATTCCATTATCACTTGTTAAACATTTATTTGATTATTAAATAAATTTATCAGTCTGTATTTTTATTAAATTCAAAATATATTTCTAAATTTTTTAATTGTGGTAGAATTTTAATTAAGCATAATCGATTTTATAAGATCAAAAACCAATAAAGCATACTCTGTGCTTTTAAATTTATGAGTTTTGCAATTATATTTTACTGTATAACTATGGGTGGAGCTTTTCAATTTACAAAAAAATAAAAAATAAAAAACAAAAAACAAAAGTGTAATGCAATACTATAAGAAAAATATTTTACTATAATAATATAAGCCTCCCTGTCTACCTTTTCAATTAACTAAAAAAAAAAATAGCAACCACTTAGATCAACTAATAAGCTGAATTTGATTTTTTTTTTTTTTTTTTTTTTAGGTGGAGCTTTTCATTTAACAAAAAAATAAAAATAAAAAACAAAAAAACAAAAGTGTAATGCAATACTATAAGAAAAAATATTTTACTATAATAATATAAGCCTCCCTGTCCTACCTTTTCAATTAACTAAAAAAAAAAATAGCAACCACTTGATTCAACTAATAAGCTGAATTTGATTTTTTTTTTTTTTTTTTTTTTTTGTTAGTATGACATAGCGTTCTCATCTATTTATGCAAATGGGATTAATTCATATTTAAAAAAAAAAAATTTCCGTCCTGTTAAAATTGATATTTTTTAAATTTATACAAAAGTTTAAAAAGAAGGCTCACTTCAATTTAAAAAAAATGATTAACTAAATTAGCTTTTATTAATATTTTTTTTGCCATTAATTCTAGAAAAAATAGAGGTATTTGATTGAATTACTTCTTCATTAATTTTTATAATTAAGAGATATAAAATTTGGTAGAAATATTTAAACAAAGATAAAGTTGAAGTCAAATAATTAATATTGTTCTCTTGACCATAATTATTTCACCAACCGGAAGCCTAAGCATACAGTATTATTTCGACATATAAAAGCTTTCAATGAATTAAAAAATAATTAACATTGTCTTAATTTTCTGAAAGTGTTATTTAAGTGAAAAAAAATCAAAAAGTGTCAAAATTAAAATATTAATTCTCTAAATAATTAATACTTATTTGGTGGAAAGACTAAAAGCTAAAGTCAAATTATTTTTTTTTTATTTTTTAAGTAACAGATAAATAAAAAAATGTCAACAACAGAAGAAGTATTTACATAAAAACATTTTTTTGTTCGTATTGACTTGAAGTTTGGAGCCTGCCTGACTAAGCTGAATTTGAAATTTCAATTATATAATTTTGCTGAAAAGCTGTGTTGACCTTTTAAGTTGCCATAAGAAATAGATATGAGTCGGACAACAATTGTAATTGTAATATCGAGGATATGCACGCTATTTTTTATAGTATTTGATAATGTAATATTTAAATTAATTTTTATAGATGAAAGTCGCATTTTATTAAAAAAAATTAATACACGTAACTTTTAACATTTTATAAAAAATTATTCTAATAATTAATAACTAAATACTAATAAAAAAACTATCTGTTATCAAAACAATTAATTTTTTTAAATAAACCTTTAGTTGCCTCGTAAAGCTTTCTCTTGTTGGAGTTTGGACCGTAGACTGAGCAACAATGACGACTGCTGAATTCTGAGGATTTGGCTGCCTCCAAATATGAAAATATGAAATTTATTTCATATGTGAACAAATTTTATATTATTATTTTAAATTAATTTGTATATTCCTTACTTGATATTTTAGTATATAAATTATTTTAATATATTAAGGGAAGAATGAACTCATTTTAAAAGTTATGATTCCCTATAAATTTAAAAAAAAATAGAAAAAAAGAAAGAAAGCAGAACATTCAATTTATTGAGTTATATTATATAAAATACAACAATAGATAAAATTTGGCTAATTTAATTTAGGAAAATTATGATTCTTAGTTCTGTTATTAATTAAAAAAAAATTAATTTGTAAGTAATATTTTTGTTTATTTCAAAAATAGATAAATGAACTAGCCAAAATAACTAAATTTTATTAATTAAATTATAAAATGTAATTGTCATCAGTAATATATCATTTCTATATGTTTCTATTAACAATTTTAACTACAATTTTTTATTAATAATATATTGTAAAAGATTAACTAATACAATTGAAATTATAAAATAATAGTTATTTAGTTTTTTATATTAATACTGAACCAAAATATTTAGTTTTCTATTAAACAATTCAAACAATAATTAAGGTCCTGTCCGCCACAAATTTTTAAAGCAATGTATAGTATTTTGATTAGTCACAAAGCATCATTTTTTTTTTTTTTTTATAACTGAGAAGTATAATTCCCTTGAAATCGTATATTGTAAAGATTTTTAGCCCGGCCAGCAAAATGCGATTCTCAAAAGTTAAATTTGTGTTCTCATCAGCAAAATGCGCTTCTCAAGAGTTAAATTTGTGTTCTCATCCTTACAAGAGTTGAGGTTGCTTACCACTCCAATCAATACCTTATTGGTTATTTTATTTTAATCTCACTGTTATAATGTAATATTAGTAGTAGTATTTAAAGGTTAATTAAAAACGTATTTCACAAAACATTATGATCCCCTTAACGTTTACTATTTCATAACAATTATTTAAACTTTTTAAATTATTTAATATTTAAAAGCTAATTAAACAGTTATTTTTATTGAATATTTCTACCTTAAATCACTGTATAAACAACTAGCCGTCTTTTCCCAATCTCTCCTTTTCGGCATTCTTTTAATTTTTGTTTCGTGCCACCATCGATCATCTTCTTTTGTCGTTAGTGATTTTATTCTTTTTCATCATTTTTTCTTTAGTTTCTTTTCAATAATTCCAGATTTGTCATCAGTCGAAACAAATCTTGGATTTAATTAGTTTCTCATATCTATCATAGGTCTTGAGTGTTTTTGTCATCCTCTTACTCTTAGTAGGGTTGAGTGTTTTTGATTTAATGTGTTTTCTCTCTTTTCATGGAGTGATTCCTCATTGTTGAGGCGTTTTTATGTGCATTTGTGATTTTTTCTTTATTGATAATACAAAATATAAGATGATAATGTTGATTACTTATGGTTAGAGATTTTAGATATGAAAGTTTGAGTAAATTTCTTTTATTGATAGAGCCTAGTAATGCAATATGTTTCTTCATTAGAGTTTGATATTTTAAACTCTTCTTCGAATGTTAAATGTAACATGCTTCAGTATAATATTTGGGAGAATATTACAGAAGGATCAATCTTTAGCTAGAAAATTAATATTTTCTAACAATATTATCTCCGAACGGAAGATTTCAATTTTTTATATTTATACTTTTTATTTTTATGAAAAAATCGTGATGTGCTCAAATAATACTTTTTTTATTAATGAATTTAAGTTTCCAAAAAAAAAAAAAGTTGAAAATTACTACTACAATAGTTGATAGCTACCAGAAGATTTAATATTACTGAACAAATAGTTTTCCATTGGTAAATTGATAAAATTTAATTTGATAAATATATAAATTAGTTGGTAAATACTCAATCAGAAAATCGGTAAATGCAACTTCTTAAACGGTTAGCCGAACCAAACCATTGTCCACCCCTAATCACATAAATTTAATTAATAATTTTTTATTTATATATTGTATTAAAGTATAATGTTATATATAATAAAACTCATCATTTAATAATAAACAACCATCGATCAGCTATTAATTACTTGCTATCAGCAACCATTATCAACTATCACTACATCAAACATAAGCATATCAATACTAGAGTTGTCATTTGATGTTAAAACAATGTTCGATGACAGCTTTTATTATTGTGACCAAGTTGAGACTCTATTTATATTAATTGTGCTGTTTGATAATATAACTTTTATAATACTTCTTTCATCCAAAAATATAGTCCAATTTTTTTTATGCAAATTAAAAATGGGTAGTTGAATTAGTTCAACCACAACTTTATCATTCTTTTTCCATATATCCCAATATTAATAATTTGTTGATCAAATTTTGAAATTGTTTATAGAGTTTTTCAATTAATTTCACTATAACCACTACTGATAGCTATTAAAACAGTTAATATTATCGAACATGTCTGCAGAGCATGCTGGATTAGACTAGTTAGAATTAGACTCTAGCAAGAAATCGGAAATGGACCGATTCAACTAAGTTGATTAATTACACTTGAATTTGTGTCACGTGACTGCTACTTGTCTTCCAAACTTGTGATTTATACTAATTCAGTTCTGCTTTTTGAATGTTATTTCTATAGTTAATTTGCAGTCAAATAGTTCGGATTGTACTAATTTCACAAGTTATAACCAGAAAAATATACACATAGCATGTAAGAAACTTCAAAAGCTTGACTGCCTACCCATTCTTATGTAAAATTTTTGGACGAGCTTGTCCTTCTGGTTTCTTTCTCAACAACCTGATGCAGACTTTTTATTTTTGAACTTCTTTTTTGTTTGCATAGGTATTATTTGCATACTCAGAGGAAGATAGTATTAAGATGAAATATCTTAAGATTAGCGATTCTAAATTTTGAGTTGACTTAACTTTGTAGGAAACGTTTGTTTGGAAATATAATCTATTCCTTCTAATTCAACATTCTTTACATTTTTATTGTTAGTAAGTACATAATTAGAAATAAATAGTAATTAATATTGGCCTAATGAATTTAATTTCGGTAATATAATTTCTACAGAGGTGTAGAATGTTTTTTTTTTTTTGAAAATGTAATTCATTAATAATAATATCAAGAATTACAAATAAGTATATAAACTGGATATAAAACTAAAAAAACTATAATATTAAATCTATTAAATCTCTTAGAGTTGATCTTCACAAAAAATATACATTTTCGTAACAAC